TTGACCAGGTTTGCACACACTGCAGCAGGGATTTTGGCCCACTCCTCCATACAGACCTTCTCCTTCAGGTTTCAGAGGCAATACGGACTTTCAGCTCCCTCCAGAGATTTTGTGGTCCTCTGTAGCTCAGCTGGTAGAGCACGGCGCTTGTAACGCTAAGGTAGTGGGTTCGATCCCCGGGACCACCCATACACACAAAAAAATAAATGTATGCACGCATGACTGTAAGTCGCTTTGGATAAAAGCGTCTGCTAAATGGCATATTATTATTATTATTATTATTATTATTATTTTCTATTGGGTTCAGGTCTGGAGACTGGCTAGGCCACTCCAGGACCTTGAGATGCTTCTTACGGAGCCACTCCTTAGTTGCCCTGGCTGTGTGTTTCGGGTCGTTGTCATGCTGGAAGACCCAGCCACGACCCATCTTCAATGCTCTTACTGATGGAAGGAGGTTGTTGGCCAAGATCTTGCGATACATGGCCCCATCCATCCTCCCATCAATACGGTGCAGTCATCCTGACCCCTTTGCAGAAAAGCATCCCCAAAGAATGATGTTTCCACCTCCATGCTTCACGGTTGGGATGGTGTTCTTGGGGTTGTACTCATCCTTCTTCTTCCTCCAAACACGGCGAGTGGAGTTTAGACGAAAAAGCTCTATATTTGTCTCATCAGACCACATGACCTTCTCCCATTCCTCCTCTGGATCATCCAGATGGTCATTGGCAAACTTCAGACGGACCTGGACATGCGCTGGCTTGAGCAGGGGGACCTTGCGTGCACTGCAGGATTTTAATCCATGACGGCGTAGTGTGTTCCTAATGGTTTTCTTTGAGACTGTGGTCCCAGCTCTCTTCAGGTCATTGACCAGGTCCTGCCGTGTAGTTCTGGGCTGATCCCTCACCTTCGTCATGATCATTGATGCCCCACGAGGTGAGATCTTGCATGGAGCCCCAGACCGAGGGTGATTGACCGTCATCTTGAACTTCTTCCATTTTCTAATAATTGCGCCAACAGTTGTTGCTTCTCACCAAGCTGCTTGCCTATTGTCCTGTAGCCCATCCCAGCCTTGTGCAGGTCTACAATTTTATCCCTGATGTCCTTACACAGCTCTCTAGTCTTGGCCATTGTGGAGAGGTTGGAGTCTGTTTGATTGAGTGTGTGGACAGGTGTCTTTTATACAGACAACGGGTTCAAACAGGTGCAGTTAATGCAGGTAATGAGTGGAGAACAGGAGGGCTTCTTAAAGAAAAACGAACAGGTCTGTGAGAGCCGGAATTCTTACTGGTTGGTAGGTGATCAAATACTTATGTCATGCAATAAAATGCAAATTAATTACTTAAAAATCATACAATGTGATTTTCTGGATTTTTGTTTTAGATTCCGCCTCTCACAGTTGAAGTGTACCTATGATAAAATGTACAGACCTCTACATGCTTTGTAAGTAGGAAAACCTGCAAAATCGGCAGTGTATCAAATACTTGTTCTCCCCACTGTATATGAAATGTCTTATCCCAGTTACTAATCAGCATGCACCCACTAAGAGGATGACTGTAAAAACTGTTACATCTCTGTGGATTGATGCAGAATTTAAAAATGGTATGGTTGAGAGGGATGAGGCAAAAGAGATGGCAAATGGGTTTAGCTGTACAACTGATTGGCAAACGTACTGCAAATTGAGAAATCGTGACTAAACTGAATAAAAATAAGAAACAACACTATGAAAGAAAGATAAATGACAAAGAATGATAGTAAAAAGCTTTGGAGGACCTTAAATGAAATTTTGGTCAAAAAGGCAAACTCCGCTCCATCATTCATTGAATTAGATGGCTCATTCATCACAAAACCCACGGATATTGCCAACTACTTTAATTATTTTTTCATTGGTAATATTAGCAAATTTAGGCATGAAATGCCAGCAACAAATGCTGACACTATACATCCAAGTAAATCTGACCAAATTATAAAAGACAAGCATTGTAATTTTGAATTCCGTAAAGTAAGTGTGGAAGAGGTGATACAAGTATTGTTGTCTATCAGCAATGACAATGTTTTGACAACTTGGATGGAAGATTACTGAGGATAATAGTGGATGATATTGCCACTCCTATTTGCCATATCTTCAATTTTAAGCCTACTAGAAAGTGTGTGCCCTCAGGCCTGGAGGGAAGCAAAAGTTATTCCCCTACCTAAGAATAGTAAAGCCCCCTTTACTGGCTCAAATAGCCGACCAATCAGCCTGTTACCAACCCTTAGTATACTTATGGGAAAAAATTGTGTTTGACCAGATACAGTGCTATTTTACAGTAAACAAATTGACAACATACTTTCAGCGTGCTATAGCGAAGGACATTCAACAAGCACAGCATTTACACAAATGACTGATGATTGGCTGAGAGAAATGTATGATAAAAAGATTGTTGGGGCTGTTTTGTTAGACTTCAGTGTGGCTTTTGACATTATCGATCATAGTCTGTTGCTGTAAAAACGTATGTGTTATGGCTTTACACCCCCTGCTATATTGTGGATACAGAGTTACCTGTCTAACAGAACACAGAGGGTGTTCTTTAATGGAAGCCTCTCCAACAAAATCGAGGTAGAATCAGGAATTTCCCAGGGCAGCGGTCTAGGCCCCTTACTTTTTTCTATCTTTACTAACGACAAGCCACTGGCTTTGAGTAAAGCCAGAGTGTCTATGTATGCGGATGACCCATCACTATACATGTCAGCTACTACAGTGACTGAAATGACTGCAACACTTCACAAAGAGCTGCAGTTAGTTTCAGAATGGGTGGCAAGGAATAAGTTAGTCCTAAATATTTCAAAAACTAAAAGGATTGTATTTGGGACAAATCATTCACTAAACCCTAAACCTCAACTAAATCTCGTAATGAATAATATGGAAATTGAGCAAGTTGAGGAGACTAAACTGCTTGGAGTAACCCTGGATTGTAAACTGTCATGGTCAAAACATATTGATACAACAGTAGCTAGAATGGGGAGAAGTCTATAATAAAGCGCTGCTCTGCATTCTTAACAGCACTATCAACAAGGCAGGTCTTACAGGCCCTAGTTTTGTCGCATCTGGACTACTGTTCAGTAGTGTGGTCAAGTGCCACAAAGAGGGACTTAGGAATATTGCAATTGGCTCAGAACAGGGCAGCACGGCTGGCCCTTGGATGTACACAGAGAGCTAACATTAATAATAGGCATGTCAATCTCTCCTGGCTCAAAGTGGAGGAGAGATTGCCTTCATCACTACTTGTGAGAGGTATTGACATAACCATGCATACCCCACAAGACATGCCACCAGAGGTCTCTTCACAGTCCCCAAGTCCAGAACAGACTATGGGAGGTGCACAGTACTACATAGAGCGATGACTACATGGAACTCTATTCCACATCAAGTAACTCATGCGAGCAGTAAAATTTGATTTAAGAAACCAATACAAATACACCTTATGGAACAACGGTGACTGTGAAGCAACACAAACATAGACACCTGCATACAAAAACACGATAACATACGCTCTATACACACATACACATGGATTTGGTGTTATAGGTATGTGGTAGTAGAGTAGAGGCCTGAGGGCACACACTTAATATGTTGTGAAATCTGTTATGAATGTATTGTGATGTTTTTTTAAATGTATAACTGCCTTAATTATGCTGGACCCCAGGAAGAGTAGCTGCTGCCTTGTATCCCCCCATTAGCTGCTGCCATAATAAATATAAATATGTATGTATATATTGATTTTTATTTATATAGATATATATATATATATATATATATATATATATATGTATATCTCAATCAATCATTTTACTTGTTCAAAATAAGTGACCAAACTATATTGCTACTTCTGGGACACGCATTGTGCTAGACTACTGGTTCAAGAGCTATATGAGGAAGAGGGAGAGAGGCTAGTGGAGATGCATGAATTGTGCAAGAAGGGAACAGTGAAGACATGTAAATTATACGTTTATTCATGGGCTATTAGTCCACCATTAGTTTGCTAGTTTATATTAGGCCTAGCCTACTACAGTGAATTTAGGCAACCACCACCTGTGCGATGCAAGCAGGGCCGGATTAATGCAGGGGCTTACCGGGGCTGAAGCCCCTGGGCCCAGGCCCGTGGGGTGCCCAAGAGGCAGCAAAAAAAAGTGTGTGTATTTATATTATTTAGGAAATGTATATATTGTATATGTAATTTATATTTTTTTACTGCATTGCGCCAAATTTGCACGCACCCCATGTTCCATAACACTGTCATGGAAAACATTACTGTTTCCAACTACCAATCAGCAACTGCGCTGTAAATCCGGCTGCATATTGAACGTTGAGATTGCCAAAAGGCCAGACTCTTTGGCGAGTGGCAAGGAGTGGAATGTTAGCTAAAAAGACTGGTACTCCCTGTTGTTTTACCTTTCTGCTCAAACAGAAGGCCATTCCGTTTCTGGGAAATGCAGAAAATAGGACATAGGGGTAATAAGTGAATAACTCTGCAGGTGGGGAACTAGTGAATCGTCCATTAGTGTTCTTGAGCCTGTTGAGGGTTGGAGACTACTGATCTCTCTTTAATCAAAATGTGATGTCTCTAAGTTTTGCCCTTTCATCTAATATAAATCAACAAGATGAGAGGCAGGATGTGTATGGTGTGCACAGTATGGCTGATCCTTTACATTTGGGGGGCGCTAAGAAACATGATGTAACTTGGAACATTAGGTTTTATTCCTGTCGATCCATTAAAGTAGAAAGTTCACTTTATTTGAACCAAATCTCTATTTTTGATTCAAATGGCATGTTTTAGAAGTGCCCAGACACTTTTTTTGCGATCTCCCTTTATCGGCAACTTCCGAACTTTCTCTGTAAGGTTATATTCCATTTTATGCGACTCAAGCCGTTTCCCCTATCCAGCTGTGCCGCTTCTCCGTGTTCCCCGAGCATTTGCACAGGGAAAAGTATCGTAGGCTACACAGAGACGTATCGCTCGAGTCGCACAAAATGTAATATAATGTTCAGAATGACACAATTTCATGTGTACAACATTTAAAGCGCTGCATCGCTAAGGAAAAATAAGTGGGGTCTTATAAGGCCCTTTCTATATCAATTTGTCCATCCAGTACACTGAGAACCATAACTAGTCCCTTTCCCGTAATTGTTTCTTACATTTTTCATAGAATTTTTTTATATACAATACAAAATGGAACAAACAAATAGTTACAGTAGATTTATATAGACACTGATTTCAGTAAACGTTATCGTAACATTATTTAACATGTCAGGCTTTCATCACAATCAGTCATAACTAACATCATAAACATTAGTGGTACTCAGCAGGTCTGTACCAAAGGGCAGGACCATACAGCACAGTACAGAATGGTACTGAACATATTGTTATATGAAAGGAAGGATGGATGGAATATTCAGAGGCAGCAACATGGTGTCCAGCCCTGAAGGAAGATGGCCAGAAATGGAGGGTGGAGGTTAGAGGTCAGAGGTGACTGGATGGTGGGCGTGGTCAGAAACCGTGCACCTTCTGTGAGGCGGAGTTGAGGAAGACAACAGAGGTGTTCTGCCAGTTGTCACCTGGGGAGTCCTGGTGGGGTCAGTCAAATCACAGGTGTTTAAAACAAGGGGAACAAGGGTCTATTCATTACGGGAACCGTTTACTGTTTAAGAACCAAACGGAGGCAAACGAAACGGGGAGGGACCTTGTACAATATGAACTTGTTTGCGTTTTCTGTTTGGAGTAAATGGTTTCTGTTGCAAAACATTTCATAACAGACTAAAAGCTTTGCAACAGAATCGGTATAATGAATACACCCCATGCGTTTTTGATCAGCTGATAGTTGTAGTGGGCGTACACTGACTCTGGATCAGCTGATAGTTGTAGTGGACGTACACTGACTCTGGATCAGCTGATAGTTGTAGTGAACTTACACTGACTCTGGATCAGCTGATAGTTGTAGTGGACTTACACTGACTCTGGATCAGCTGATAGTTGTAGTGGACTTACACTGACTCTGGATCAGCTGATAGTTGTAGTGGACTTACACTGACTCTGGATCAGCTGATAGTTGTAGTGGACTTACACTGACTCTGGATCAGCTGATAGTTGTAGTGGACTTACACTGACTCTGGATCAGCTGATAGCTGTAGTGGACTTACACTGACTCTGGATCAGCTGATAGTTGTAGTGGACTTACACTGACTCTGGATCAGCTGATAGTTGTAGTGGACTTACACTGACTCTGGATCAGCTGATAGTTGTAGTGGACTTACACTGAGTCTGGCTTCCAGCTCCTCTGCCTGTCTTGTCCTGTGTGTTTTGTCTGGAAAGATATGGTGAGGTTCAACTTAGTAGCAATATAATATGCTTATCCCATTGTCTACCAGCAGACAGTGTCATTGTAACTTGTAACGGGACACATTGCCATGAATTAGTTATGCATAAGGCCTGCATTTTGTTCACTAGATACATCCAATGTAATGTGTGTTTCGTACCTTCTGTGTATTATAAACTACTAAACCCAGTGTAGTACTTACTGTATTGGTCCAGTATCTTCCATGGCAGCAGCACCAGAACCATCAAGATGAACAGAACGCCACACGCCATCAGAGGAAACTCCCACAGTGGCCTGCAACGCGCACACACAGGGTTACCCATAGCTGTGGTAACTCAGGGTTACCTATAGCTGTGGTAACTCAGGGTTACCTATAGCTGTGGTAACTCAGGGTTACCTATAGCTGTGGTAACTCAGGGTTACCTATAGCTGTGGTAACTCAGGGTTACCTATAGCTGTGGTAACTCAGGGTTACCTATAGCTGTGGTAACTCAGGGTTACCTATAGCTGTGGTAACTCAGGGTTACCTATAGCTGTGGTAACTCAGGGTTACCTATAGCTGTGGTAACTCAGGGTTACCTATAGCTGTGGTAACTCAGGGTTACCCATAGCTGTGGTAACTCAGGGTTACCTATAGCTGTGGTAACTCAGGGTTACCTATAGCTGTGGTAACTCAGGGTTACCTATAGCTGTGGTAACTCAGGGTTACCTATAGCTGTGGTAACTCCTACCCATGGTTACCTATCCCTCCCTGGCCTGCAACGCGCACACACAGGGTTACCCATAGCTGTGGTAACTTCTACCCATGGTTACCTATCCCTCCCTGGCCTGCAACGCGCACACACAGGGTTACCCATAGCTGTGGTAACTTCTACCCATGGTTACCTATCCCTCCCTGGCCTGCAACGCGCACACACAGGGTTACCCATAGCTGTGGTAACTTCTACCCATGGTTACCTATCCCTCCCTGGCCTGCAGTGTTACCTGTGGTGGTCTGCTCCCTCAGCGATGTGGCGGCGAAAAGGAGGGACAGACGGAGACACAGGAACAGACTGGGGGGTTTCTTCTGGTGGGGGCTTCACTATAGGAGCAGGCAGTGCAGGACACACACACACAACACGTTTCATAATCCTGCTTCTGGGTGCCACGTTTCTGTTCTAACCCCTAGATTCAGCCAATCATATCTAACCATCCTGTACCTGTTGTGGCTGGAGGAGTGACGAGGACGTGAACAGCCACCTGTTGTTGTCCTGCAGCACACCAGTACCAGCCTGCAGACACATGGGAATATTACCATGACGATAATAATCATCATTATAATAATAACCACCCCCAGTACCAGCCTGCAGACACATGAGAATATTACCATGACGATAATAATCATCATCATAATAATAACCACCCCCAGTACCAGCCTGCAGACACATGGGAATATTACCATGACGATAATAATCATCATCATAATAATAACCACCCCCAGTACCAGCCTGCAGACACATGGGAATATTACCATGACGATAATAATCATCATCATAATAATAACCACCCCCAGTACCAGCCTGCAGATACATGAGAATATTACCATGACGATAATAATCATCATCATAATAATAACCACCCCCAGTACCAGCCTGCAGACACATGAGAATATTACCATGACGATAATAATCATCATCATAATAATAACCACCCCCAGTACCAGCCTGCAGACACATGAGAATATTACCATGACGATAATAATCATCATCATAATAATAACCACCCCCAGTACCAGCCTGCAGATACAACATTAGAATATTAACGTAATATTATTAACAGCAATAATAATAACCTCCACCAGTACCGGCCTGCAGATACACACTTACAATATAATATATAATTAAAGATAATCACCATCGTCTTCTTCATCAAAATTCACATCGCTGCACCATTGTGTGTTATTTAGCATAGAGTTATATTCTCCATACCTGTATCTCTCTGGGCCAGTCCCTTCAGGGTGACAGTGAAAGCCTTGGTCAGGTCATCTCTGATCTCTACTGCCTGGTCTTCATACCGCCCCTCACCGTCCGTCACCAGACAGGAGCTCCAGTCACCACTACGACACCAGCGCTTCTCACTCTGCCTGACAACACACAGACAGACACAGACCCACAATCCTACTGGCAACTGCACAAAATCACAGGCCTACTGTAGGTTTACTCTCTCTGCCACAAGTCACATGGGAGCAGGAGTTCAGATCTAATACTAGGGTATTCTATACAGACAGGTTACACACCATTCACATACATATATATTTATATTCCGGACTCTAAATTCCTGCAATTCTATCCATTTTGCCATGGGGTTTTGTACTGTGTATTTAAATACTGTATTCTCGACATAGCTGATTCTATTATTTCTACTCTTGTACATTGTATTTTAGTTGCACTGTTTATACACACCACAAATTTATTTACAGTGCATTCGGAAAGTATTCAGACCCCTTGACTTTTTCCACATTTTGTTACGTTACAGCCTTATTCTAAAATGCAGGACATTATTTTTTCCCCCTCATCAAGCTACACATAATACCTCATAATGAGCAGGTTTGGAGCAGGATCTTTGCTCCGTTCATCTTTCCCTCGATCCTGACTAGTCTCCCAGTCCCTGCCCCTGAAAAACATCCCCACAGCATGATGCTGCCACCCCCATGCTTCACCGTAGGGATGGTGCTAGGATTCCTCCAGACGTGACACTTGGCATTCAGGCCAAAGAGTTCAATCTTGGTTTCATCAGACCAGATAATATTGTTTCTCATGGTCTGAGAGTCTTTAGATGCCTTTTGACAAACTCCAAGCGGGCTGTCATGTGCCATTTACTGAGAAGTGGCTTCCGTCTGGCCACTCTACCATAAATGCCTGATTGGTGGAGTGCTGCAGAGATGGTTGTCCTTCTGGAAGGTTCTCCCATCTCCACAGAGGAACTCTGGAGCTCTGTCAGAGTGACCATCGGGTTCTTGGTCACCTCACTGACCAAGGCCCTTCTCCCCCGATTGCTCAGTTTGGCCGGGCGGCCAGCTCTAGGAAGAGTCTTGCTGGTTCCAAACTTCTTCCATTTAAGAATGATGGAGGCCACTGTGTTCTTGGGGACCTTCAATGGTGCAGACATTTTTTGGTACCCTTCCCCAAATCTGTGCCTCGACACAATCCTGTCTTGGAGCTCTACGAACAATTCCTTCGACCTCATGGCTTGGTTTTTGCTCTGACATGCACTGTCAACTGTGGGACCTTATATACCAGGTGTGTGCCTTTCCAAATAATGTTCAATCAATTGAATTTACCACAGGGGGACTCCAATCAAGTTGTAGAAACATCTCAAGGATGATCAATGGAAACAGGATGCACCTGAGCTCAATTTCGAGTCTCATAGCAAAGGGTCTGAATACTTATGTAAATAAGGTATTTCTGTTTTTTGTTTTTAATAAATTTGCAAACATTTCCAAAAACCTGTTTTCGTTTTGTTATTATGGGGGTATTGTTATAGATTGGTGAGGATATATATATATATTTTTTATCCATTTTAGAATACGGCTGTAACTTAACAAAATGTGGAAAAAGTCAAGAGGTCTGAATACTTTCCCAATGCACTGTATCTTATGGATTCTTGACATGGCTCACTAATATATCTACTGCTGTACAAATCATTCTTAGTATATCCACTATTGTACATATCATTCTTAGTATATCTACTGCTGTACATATCATTCATAGTATATCCACTATTGTACATATAATTCTTAGTATATCTACTGCTGTACATATCATTCATAGTATATATACTGCTGTACATATCATTCTTAGTATATATACTGCTGTACATATCATTCATAGTATATCTACTGCTGTACATATCATTCTTAGTATATATACAGCTGTACATATTATTCTTAGTATATATACTGCTGTACATATCATTCTTAGTATATATACTGCTGTACATATCATTCTTAGTATATATACTGCTGTACATATCATCATTAGTATATATACTGATGTACATATAATTATTAGTATATATACTGCTGTACATATCATTCTTAGTATATCTACTGCTGTACATATCATTCTTAGTATATCTACTGCTGTATATATCATTCTTAGTATATATACTGCTGTACATATAATCCTTGGTATATCTACTGCTGTACATATCATTCTTAGTATATATACTACTGTACATATCATCCTTAGTATATCTACTGCTGTACATATCATTCTTAGTATATCTACTGCTGTACATATCATTCTTAGTATATATACTGCTGTACATATCATTCTTAGTATATATACTGCTGTACATGTCATTCTTAGTATATCTACTGCTGTACATATCATTCATAGTATATCTACTGCTGTACATATCATTCTTAGTATAGCTACTGCTGTACATATCATTCTTAGTATATCTACTACTGTACATATCATTCTTAGTATATATACTGCTGTACATATCATTCTTAGTATATATACTGCTGTACATATCATTCTTAGTATATCTACTGCTGTACATATCATCCTTAGTATATCTACTGCTGTACATATCATTCTTAGTATATCTACTGCTGTACATATCATTATTTGTATATCTACTGCTGTACATATCATTCTTAGTATATATACTGCTGTACATATCATCATTAGTATATATACTGCTGTACATATCATTCTTAGTATATCTACTGCTGTATATATCATTCTTAGTATATCTACTGCCGGAACATATCATTCTTAGTATATCTACTGCTGTACATATCATTCTTATTATATCTACTGCTGTACATATCATTCTTAGTATATCTACTGCTGTACATATCATTCTTAGTATATCTACTGCTGTACATATCATTCTTTGCATATCTACTGCTGTACATATCCTTATTTGTATATCTACTGCTGTACATATCATTCTTAGTATATCTACTGCTGTACATATAATTCTTAGTATATCTACTGCTGTACATATCATTCTTAGTATATATACTGCTGTACATATCATTCTTAGTATATCTACTGCTGTATATATCATTCTTAGTATATTAAAAATGTAAATTAAAAATTAAGAAATTAAAATGTTTAGTCATTTAGCAGACGCTCTTATCCAAAGCGACTGAGTGCATACATGATTTTATTTTTATTTTTCATACTGGCCCCCCCTGGCAATTCCCCTGTGTGAAAAAGTAATTGTACCCTTACACTCAATAACTGGTTGTGCCACCTTTAGTTGCAATGACTCCAACCAAATGCTTCCTGTAGTTGTTGATCAGTCTCTCACGTCGCTGTGGAGGAATTTTGGCCCACTCTTCCATGCAGAACTGCTTTAACTCAGTGACGTGTGGGTTTTCAAGCATGAACTGCAAGTCCTTCCACAACATCTCAATTGGGATTAGGTCTGGACTTTGACTAGGCCATTCCAAAACTTCCAATTTTTTGCTTGCAAACACCATGCTCTACCAACTGAGCTACATCCCTGCCGGCCATTCCCTCCCCTACCCTGGACGAATTGTGCGCCGCCCCATGGGTCTCCCGGTCACGACAGAGCCTGGATTCGGACCATTTACATTTTAGTAATTTAGCAGACGCTCTTATCCAGAGCGACTTACAGTTAGTGAATACATATTTTTTTCATACTGGCCCCCCCTTGGGAATCAAACCCACAACCCTGGCGTTTGCAAACGCCATGCTCTATCAACTGAGCTACATCCCTGCCGGCCATTCCCTCCCCTACCCTGGGCCAATTGTGCGCCACCCATGAGTCTCCCGGTCGCGGCCGGCTGCGACATATCCTGGATTCGAACCAGGATCTCTAGTGGCACAGCGATGCAGTGCCTTAGACCACTGCGCCACTCGGGTATATCTCTAAGTATATCTACAGCTGTACATATCATTCTTAGTATATCTACTGCTGTACATATCATTCTTAGTATATCTTGTGTAAATTCATCCGGTGTAGAGACGTATAGATTGCATTTGGGTTAATTGGATTCATTCTGACATTTCAAGATTTAAACGTTTTATTGTATTATTTGTGTACTTGTTTGACATTTTACGGCATTGTTAGGAGCTAGTAACATAAGCATTTCATTGCACCCGCTATCACATCTGCTAAACTGTGTGCACGACGAATAAACTTTGATTTGATATGGTTATGTACTCTACAGAGCAGGGCTCTCCAACCCTGTTCCTGGAGAGCTACCTTCCTGTCAGTTTTCACTCCAACCCCAGTTGTAACTAACCTGATTCAGCGTATAAATATTTGAATCAAGTGCACTAGACGAGGGTTGGAGTGAAACCTACAGGACAGTAGCTCTCCGGCCCTGCTATAGAGGTGATCTCCAGTCGTACCTGTATCCCTGGCTGTAGAGACACTGGGCAGTGACGCTGGTCCCTTCCTCTCCGCTCAGCACGCTGTTCACCACAGACATACCTGTGCAGCACCACGTATGAACATGTAGTGTTGACATACCAACTAACTACCGCAGCATACTATAGCAACAACCAGAGTGAATGGCTACATTCCAATTCTCTACCCTTCTGGCGAAGTGTGCATTCGTTCACTCCCCCTCATAGATTAATAAGGAATGGACTACTGTGATGATGGAATATGGTGAAAACTCCCTCCAGCCATGCTTGCACCAATCTGATGCTTTTAAATGCATAAAGGGGGCGTGAATAAGAGCAGACTTCTGGAGAAGTTTAGAGAATCAGAACACAGCCAATGAGTGCACACTTAAGGGAGAAGGCGTTACAATGGGGAGTGGGACGGTGACTCGGTGTGTGAACAAGTGCACAAATGAGTACACACTTCAGGGAGAAGAGAGGACTTGTGTCCACTCACCATGGATAACGTTGATGTGAAGGGAGGCTGTGACATCAGCACTCCAGACTCCTCCCACCTCCACACCACACCAGTACCATCCAGTCTCCTCCTCCTGCAGGTCTGTCATTGTTACTGTGAACACCTGGGTATAAAATATAACACAGCATCATCATCATTGTCGTAGTCATCATCACCATCATCTTCATTCATGTAAAAACATGAAAAATACACTTCTATTATCACTTTGATTATGACTGGAGACTTCCAGTGTCAGCAGCAGATAACAACATACTGAAAATCTAATTCTACTAAATGTACAATAAAGTATCTATCCTAATAGTAACCATCGGATCCTCCCACCTGCTGTACCGGGTCATCAAAAATGGCCACCTTGTCTTCTCCAGGTGCAGCTGGCCCCCGTGGGGCATCGCTGCGAGCCAGACTGGTACAGAGGTCCTTTACCCTGCCTCGGCACCAGTACTTCACATAACTGGTGTACTGTGGCTCGTAGTGGCACGGGATCATCACCGACCGACCTTCCAGGATCGACAGGTCACCCACAGTGGTCACCCTACAGAGAGAGCCTGCAGGCAGCGAGCAGAGAGGTCATTCACCCTAATATTAACCCCTGACCCCTCCAGAACCACTAGATCACCCATGGTGGTCAACCTACATAGAGAACCTACAGGCAGGAAGATAAGGAGGTCATTAACCCATGACCCCTAACACCTCCAGGACCGCTAGATCACCAACGGTGGTCACCCTACAGAAAGAACCTACAGGCAAGGAGGGGGCAGAGGTCATTCACTTTAACGTCAACCCCTGACCCCTAACCCCTCTACAACTGCCATGTCACCCTACATAAAGACACTACAGGCAGAGAGGTCATTAAGCCCTAACCGATGCCTGTCAATGTGTATGTTATTAAAAGTAATGGTTCCTCTCTGGTACTGTTAATATGTAACCGGCAGCCCTGAACTCCTATCTATAAAAAAGCACAGAATGTTTTTAAAGTGACCCTGAATAGCACCCCTTCCACGGCACACTTCTGGTTTCGTTTTCCTTGAAAAGAGTTACTGTCACTTTCACATCCCTCAGTTCCCCCTCTCTACTCCCTCCCCTTCTCCCCTCCCTACTCCCTCTTCCAGGGCTGCCAACTTTTTAAGAAAGTTTGGAGTGAGATTTGCCCCCTGGCACAACACTAAGACGGGAAAATGTTAAAGCTAATTTCCTGCAATTCTACGTACACTACCAGTCAAAAGTTTGGACACACCTACTCATTCAAGGGTTTTTCTTTATTTTTACTATTTTTTACATTGTAGAATAATAGTGAAGATATCAAAACTATGAAATAACACATATGGAATCATGTAGTAACCAAGAAAGTGTTAAACAAATCAAAATATATTTTATATTTGAGATTCTTCAAATAGCCACCATTTGCCTTGATGACAGCTTTGCACACTCTTGGTATACAGTTGAAGTCAGAAGTTTACATACACTTAGGTCGGATTCATTAAAACTAGTTTTTCAACCACTCCACACATTTCTTGTTAACAAACTATAGTTTTGGCAAGTCGGTTAGGACATCTACTTTGTTCATGACTGTCACAGATTCAGCCGAGGCTGCTCCTCCTCTCTGCTCGGGCAGGCTTCGGCGTTCGTCGTCCCCGGAGTACTAGCTGCCACCGATCGATGTTTCGGTGTTTGACTTGTTGTGTCTGATTGTGTACACCTGTTCCCCATTGTGTTGTATTGTATTCCCTATTTAACCCTCTGTCGTGCATTGTGTGTTGTGTGTTATTGTTTTGTGTCATCGACAGTGTACCGGTTGTTAGTTTTCTCCGTTGTTTGGAGACAGTTTCTTTTCACTGGCGACTTTTATTAAAGTACGAGTTCCAGTAGCTCCGTGTCCTGCGTGTGACTTCGCCTACCGCATTTCACTGTCGCCTTTCTGACAATGACACAAGTAATTTTTCCAACAATTGTTTACAGACAGATTATTTCACTTATAATTCACTGTATCACAATTCCAGTGGGTCAGAAGTTTACATACACTAAGTTGACTGTGCCTTTAAACAGCTTGGAAAATTCCAGAAAATGATGTCATGGCTTTAGAAACTTCTGATAGGCTAATTGACATCATTTGAGTCAATTGGAGGTGTACCTGTGGATGTATTTCAAGGCCTACCTTCAAACTCAGTGCCTCTTTGCTTGACATCATGGGAAAACAAAAAGAAATCAGCCAAGACCTCAGATTTTTTTTTGTAGACCTCCACAAATTTGGTTCATCCTTGGGAGCAATTTCCAAATGCCTGAAGGTAACACGTTGATCTGTACAAACAATAGTACGCAAGTATAAACACCATGGGACCACGCAGCCGTCATACCGCTCAGGAAGGAGACGCGTTCTGTCTCCTAGAGATGAACGTACTTTGGTGCGAGAAGTGCAAATCAATGCCAGAACAACAAGGACCTTGTGAAGATGCTGGAGGAAATGGGTACTAAAGTAACTATATCCACTGTAAAACAAGTCCTATATCGACATAACTTGAAAGGCCGCTCAGCAAGGAAGAAGCCACTGCTCCAAAACCGCCATAAAAAAGCCAGACTACGGTTTGCAACTGCACATGGGGACAAAGATCGTACTTTTTGGAGAAATGTCCTCTGGTCTGATGAAACAAAAATAGAACTGTTTGGCCATAATGACCATCGTTATGTTTGGAGGAAAAGGGGGGCGCTTGCAAGCTGAAGAACACCATCCCAACCGTGAAGCACGGGGGTGGCAGCATCATGCTGTGGGGGTGCTTTGCTGCAGGAGGGACTGGTGCACTTCACAAAATAGATGGCATCATGAGGAAGGAAAATTATGTGGATATATTGAAGCAACATCTCAATTTATTTTTTTATTTATTTTTTTGTCATTTAGCAGACGCTCTTATCCAGAGCGACTTACATGAGCAATTAGGGTTAAGTGCCTTGCTCAAGGGCACATCGACAGATCTTTCACCTAGTCGGCTCGGGGATTAGAACCAGCGACCTTTCGGTTACTGGCACAACGCTCTTAAATCTCAAGACATCAGTCAGGAAGTTAAGGCTTGGTCACAAATGGGTCTTCCAAATGGACAATGACCCTAAGCATACTTCCAAAGTTGTGGCAAAATGGCTTAAGGACAACAAAGTCAAGGTATTGGAGTGGCCATCACAAAGCCTTAACCTCAATCCTATAGGAAATTTGTGGGCAGAACTGAAAAAGCGTGTGCGAGCAAGGAGGCCTACAAACCTGACTCAGTTACACCAGCTCTGTCAGGAGGAATGGGCCAAAATTCACCCATCTTATTGTGGGAAGCTTGTGGAAGGCTACCCGAAACGTTTGACACAAGTTAAACAATTTAAAGCCAATGCTACCAAATACTAATTGAGTGTATGTAAACTTCTGACCCACTGGGAATGTGATGAAAGAAATAAAAGCTGAAAGAAATCACTCTCTACTATTATTCTGACATTTCACATTCTTAAAATAAAGTGGTGATCCTAACTGACCTAAGTCAGGGAATTTTTACAAGGATTAAATGTCAGGAATTGTGAAAAACTGAGTTGTATTTGGCTAAGGTGTATGTAAACGTCCGACTTCAACTGTATATTGACATGGTGGCTTATGACCAGGGTGGAAAATTAAAACGTTTCAACCACAGGTCAGGTGTAATCAGGGTTCATTAAATGAACATTTAAAATTCGACAACTTTGTTACTTTAATATTTTGGGGGGATGACATTTTAAGTATGCTAATATTTTTGTAAACATATTTTTTAGGTGGTTTGAGACTTTATTCAGACAGTAATGAGATAGGGAGACAGGCAAACGCTAGAAACAGTGGGAAGGTTGGAAGCAGGGACTGATCCCTGTTCTCAGGTGGAAAGTTGTATGTGACACATGCTGGGGAGTGTTACCACTACACCAAGACTCTGCCCAGGAATTGTCTATATTAATGGTTGATGGCAGTGGGAAACCAAATCATAGATTGCGGTCTCCTTGTCCATAGACTGCTTTCAAGGTAAGGACACAAACATTTTGTATTTTGTAATTTGGGTGAACTATCTCTTTAAAATAGGTCTGGAACAAAAAATCCTGCATGCTCTCCAGGAGGGTTGGCCACCCCTAATCTATGTTTCCCAAGTGTTGGGTGTTTAAAAATGTTCTTGTTATAACAATTAATTTCTCAAAGATCTGATGAATATCAACATTCAGGTGGTTTATTCCTACTAGTTTAATATCTTTGTCATCATTTTACATTTACATTTACGTCATTTAGCAGACGCTCTTATCCAGAGCGACTCACAGTTAATGAGTATCTCCTCTACATAGACAAAATATGATGCGTTTATGAGTTGTATAATATAGTACATTTTCAAAGACAAGAGTAGGCATATCAGATTTCAAATATGTGATTACACTGGCAACATTGGGAAGAAGTGGAATAATACAATAAGTGTTGGTGAATAACAGTAGTGTTCTTGCTGACAAGCACACTAATTACCCAATATTTTAGCCCATTGTTAAGAATGAGAATTGTTCCACTGATCAGTCTAAATAAAGTAAATAGGTAGTACAATCTCTCGAAGACAAGATGACATACATCTGCCCCTACACCTTAACCAAATAACTGTTCTATGTATTGTCCACTCTCTAGAATCAAACTTTCACTTTCTATTTGTCAAAATGATTTTCATAGTTACAAAGCAGGCCACCCTAACCAAACGTCCCTGCTAAAACATCCTGTAGGTCTGTCTGCTGCCTTCTCGTTGTCACATGCCTAAATGCCAATAACCAAACGAGGGGACGAATACAAGGATGGATTAAATCGACTTTAGTATATGCTGCCAAAAGGCTACATTCTGCAATAAGGACGGGAGTAACAGCAACTTTAATTTTGTTGACATCGTACATAAAACAGCGCTACCGTGCAGCTCTTTGAACAGTTTTATACACTCGGCAGAGAGCGTTCTCTCTCTCCATTCAGCTCCACTCTAATGTTGTTTCTTTAATACATAATATTAATAATATAATAATATAATGCATCCAATCCACTCGCTTCAATATGCCGTGGTTCACAGTGCCGTGGCAAAACAGGACAACGATAGAGCTTCTGCTTGTGATGTTAAATTGGAGGCGCAGATACTCCGATTTCAAAACGATCTGGAGCACAGTTGAAAGGTTCACGCGCTGACTATACAATGGTCTAATTAGAAAAATAAAAACATTACTTTTCAATGCGTGAGATATAAGAGGTGTGCCGTGAGAGCGTGAGAAGAGGGTCAAATGCGTGTCTCACGGTCAATGCGTGAGAGTTGGCAGCTCCGCTCTTCTCCGCCTCCCTACTCTCCTCCTCCCTTGCCTGAGACTTGAAAATTCCGTTAGCTCCCTGAGATGATTTCCTAGAGTTTAGCTCTACGGGTTAGCACAGTCTTGTGGTGTGCAGACGAGCCAGGTTCAAACCAAGAAGGTCACACTTGCTTGAGGGCGTAATAACGTCTGGGATATAGGGCATAACACCGTCTGGGATTTAAGGCGTAACAGTCTGGGATTTAGGAAGGAGACAGGAGAATGTTGCTTTCTGCTTCCACTGGCTGTCGGAGAACGCCATGAACTTGGACACAATTTCTTGTCCCAGTGAAATGTTTGAAAGCGAGAAAAATACAAGATTGTGCAAGAAAACACAGAAAATCTAAACCATATGGTTTTCTCTTCAGCACTTTACTGATCATACCATCAAAATGCTCTAACAATGTGTTATTACACAAGTAGAAATAAAAGGAATGTTTTTGGATGGATTTCCATATTCAACAATACAAAACATGAGTTTCTCAGCCATTTAAATTAGTTTGTTCAATAACTAGCTACCCTTTACTTCACTATATACTATATACATTATATCCTGAGGAGCAAATGTGACTTTTACAGCGTAAAAAAAATTAAGCTTTCTCCAGGACTACATAACACTGTCATTAGAGATTCTCCATGGGGGCATGTTGTTAATCCAGGAGGAGGAGCAGGAGTTAATCTGTGTCTCAGGAGAAACCAAACCTGAGTTCAGTTCTTACCTGGCAGACAGGAGAGGAGGAGGAAGGCGAGGAAGAGTAGGGGAGGAGTCATCATGTTCCAGACTGTGACTGTTTGAGGCTATGGCGCTGTGAGAAGTGGTTCATCAACACAACCCGTTCCCTAAAACAACCCGTTCCCTAACCCTCGTTTCCTGCTGGTCACATGACCTACAAATGTGGTGTCCAGATGTCACAGATGTTTTGTTTAACCATTTCAGTTCCCTGTCGTTATTATATCTATTACCTCCAACGATAATTACTGTTAGGCTGTTATATGTACTGCTTCTTTATCATAACATGAATAATGATGTTTACCATTTTTTTTTGCAACATCAAGCCTAATTTCTACAATTGTATTAATCTATAATTGTATAATTTAATCTCTTGTTGAAGTCTAATACTTGGCATATAAAATGCATCAAACGTTTTTTTATGCATGGTTTTGCTGCACATAAAGAATTGGGGGGTGTTAGAGTTGTAGTAAGGCTTTATACAGTGCCTTCGGAAAGTATTCTGCCCTTGACTTTTTCCACATTTTGTTACCTTACAGCCTTATTCTAAAATGGTAAAAAAATATATAAAAAAAATCCTCAGCAATCTACACACAATACCCCATAATGACAAAGTGAAAACAGGCGTTTAGAAATATTTGCACATTCAAAATTAATAAAAAACAGAAATACCTTATTTATATAAGTATTCAGACCCTTTGCTATGAGACTCGAAATTGAGCTCAGGTGCATCCTGTTTCCATTGATCATCCTTGAGATGTTTCTACAACATTATTGGAGTCCACCTGTGGTAAATTCAATTGATTGGACATGATTTGGAAAGGCACACACCTGTCTATATAAGGTCCCACAGTTGACTGTGCATGTCAGAGCAAAAAACAAGCCATGAAGTCGAAGGAATTGTCAGAAGAGCTCCAAGACAGGAATATGGAAAGGCACAGATCTGGGGAAGGGTACCAAAACATTTCTGAAGCACTGAAGGTCCCCAAGAACACAGTGGCCTCCATCATTCTTAAATGGAAGAAGTTTGGAACCACCAAGACTCTTCCTAGAGCTGGCCACCTGGCCAAACTGAGCAATTGGGGGAGAAGGGCCTTGGTCAGGGAGGTGACCAAGAACCCGATGGTCACACTGACAGAGCTCTAGAGTTCCTCTGTGGAGATGGGAGAACCTTCCAGAAGGACAACCATCTCTGCAGCACTCCACCAATCAGGCCTTTATGGTAGAGGTGCCAGACGGACGCCACTCCTGGGTAAAAGCTACATGACAGCCCGCTTGGAGTTTGCCAAAAGACACCTAAAGACTCTCAGACCATGAGAAACAAGATTCTCTGGTCTGATGGAACCAAGATTGAACTCTTTGGCCTGAATGCCAAGCATCACGTCTGGAGTAAACCTGGCACCATCCCTACGGTGAAGCATGGTGGTGGCAGCATCATGCTGTGGGATGTTTTTCAGCGGCAGGGACTGGGAGACTAGTCAGGATCGAGGCAAAGATGAATGGAGCAAAGTACAGAGAGATCCTTGATGAAAACCTGCTCCAGAGCGCTCAGGACCTCAGACTGGGGCGAAGGTTCACCTTCCAACAGGACAATGACCTTAAGCACACAGCCAAGACAACGCAGGAGGGGCTTCGGGACAAGTCTCTGAATGTCCTTGAGTGGCCCAGCCAGAGGTCCGGACTTTAACCCAATCGAACATCTCTGGAGAGACCTGAAAATTGCTGTCCGGCAACACTCCCCATCCAACCTGACAGAGCTTGAGAGGATCTGCAGAGAAGAATGGAGGAAACTCCCCAAATACAGGTGTGCCAAGCTTGTAGCGTCATACCTAAGAAGACTCAATACTGTAATCGTTGCCAAAGGTGCTTCAACAAAGTACTGAGTAAATGGTCTGCATACTTATGTAAATGTAATATTTAAGTTTTATTTTATTTGATAAATTAGCAAAGATTTCTATAATCCTGTTTTTCCCACAGCTGCCCAGCCTAACGCCTTGATCACACAGACAGCGTCGTTACGATTTGATTCTATCATTTAACCCAACATGCAGAATATATTATATAATTTGTGCCATTTAAAATTTTCAAATTACTTTTGAAAGATATATTTTCACAGGTGCAATGTACTGTAGGCAGGTTGGTGCAAACTTCTTGGATCATAGACAAAGAAGATACGTGTGTTATGTCTGCACAGCAAAGCCTTCAGTCATGGTGACCCCAAACCACAGGAGGCTGCTGAGGGGAGGCCGAAACTGAGCAAATGGAATGGCATTAAACACATGGAAACCATGTGTTTGATGTATTTGATACCATTCTCCTGATTCCGCTCCAGTCATTACCATGAGCCCGTCCTCCCCAATTAAGGTGCCACCAACCTCCTGTGCCCCAAACATCACCTTTGTAAACCAATCCTGAGCAGAGAAAGAACAACATGCATCAAAGTTGTATACACTTCTAAGGCTCCCGTTTTCGGCTGGCGTTGACGCCTCGATCACACCAACAGAATGATTGTGCCAAATAATGCGCAGCGTCATCTGGATATGTGTGCAACAAAAGTTCAACATTCACCTTCTGCTACCATTTCTGTCAACCCGAGTTTGACGCACATGTTCGATAAATCCAACATATGCACCACACAGAACGCAGCGCTGCAAGGCAAACGCAGCTTTCCATTGGAAAATAATGTACTTCTGGTGTAATAAATACAATAACGCTGTCGGTGTGATCAAGGCGTAACTCAGAGGCACGTTCCAAAAAATAGGCAATGTCCCAATTATCTCTCCTTCATTAAACCACCCACTGGTACCATTTCATCTCTTTATTTTAGTTTGACTTCAAGTGCAAAAGGGAATATGTGTCAGATTAAAGAAAGTTACAAAAACAACAATAATCTTGAACACCAATGCTGGGCTGCAGATCGACCAATCACAGTCACAGAGGAGGTGGCAGGTAGCCTGGTGGGTAGGAGCGTTGGGCCAGTAACAGAAAGGTTGTTGGATTGAATCCCCGAGCTGACAAGGTAAAAATCTGTCCTTCTGCCCCTGAGCAAGGCAGTTAACCCACTGTTCCCCGGGCGCCGAAGATGTCGATTAAGGCAGCCCTCCGCACCTCTCTGATTCAGAGGGGCTGGGTTAAATGCAGAAGACACATTTCAGTTGAATGCATTCAGTTGGACAACTGACTAGGTATCCCCCTTTCCATGGTTGGTGTTCAGGAGGATGTGTAAGATGTGTACTTGGTGGGACCTCCTCTGGTTGGTCTATGGAGCTTCAGCCAGGCATTAAGGCGGCGTTAGTGTCAAACGCTCTTTGGCAATTTCGACTTGTAAAAGCTATTTTTTCCAACCCTGGTGCCAGGGTTGGTCATTTACCTGTTTTATAGCAGCTCACTTGCGCTGAGGTGGGAGGGGTGGAAATATTTGAGATGCGTCCTTAAAAACATGCACCAATAACGCCAATTTCAAGCAGGCTACTGGTGACATATAACGCAATTGGCAATTGGTTATTGATTAGGCGCACAGTAGCCTAATCAATAACCAATGTTTTATTAAACTATCACGAACAGGAAGAAAGTCAACAGACGTTCCCGTTTGGACATTATTTTTGTCCATGCAGCTTCTGTGAAAAGTGTGGACTCATTAGGCCTATGTGCAACGCCCATTGTGTGCAACGCCCATTCATTAGGCCTATGTGCAACGCCCATTCATTAGGCCTATGTGCAACGCCCATTGACTGAAAGGTGTCAGTAGGAAGTCAGATAGTGTGTGGGCATGACTGTATTCGCAGTTCCATCCTACACACATACAACCAATGATAAATCAGTGTTACGCATTAAAACACTGCGTGTACTGTATGCAAGCGGATCCATTAGTTCAAACGGTTCAGATTGTCTTGTCAAAGCTCTATCCCGTAGATCAGATGGGGGGGGTACTTAGGAACATTAAGTAACTTGGAACATTAGATTTGCTTCCTGTCGATCCATTAGGAGGCGTGTCTCTTAATGTCAGGGCACAATGTGTCCCAATGGATCACTTCTCTTCTTCTACTGCATAATGATGGACTCACATCATTTACTCTGGCAGTTTGCATGCAGGTATTTATATGCACGTACACGTATATTCATCATACATTCAACATATTCTGCCTCATTCAATGAATGGGTGGCTTTCCCTGTCATGCTTGCAAATGTCCTTAACTCTTATGTCAGGTTGAGAGTTCACCATGGATGAATAGCAAAGAAATGCTGAAGAGATTGAAGCCAAACTGATTTCTCATATAAGATTGCCATGGTGATTGCTATCTGAGATCTATTATATACAGTGGGGGAAAAAAAGTATTTAGTCAGCCACCAATTGTGCAAGTTCTCCCACTTAAAAAGATGAGAGAGGCCTGTAATTTTCATCATAGGTACACGTCAACTATGACAGACAAAATGAGAAAAAAACATCCAGAAAATCACATTGTAGGATTTTTAATTAATTAATTTGCAAATTATGGTGGAAAATAAGTATTTGGTCAATAACAAAAGTTTCTCAATACTTTGTTATATACCCTTTGTTGGCAATGACACAGGTCAAACGTTTTCTGTATGTCTTCACAAGGTTTTCACACACTGTTGCTGGTATTTTGGCCCATTCCTCCATGCAGATCTCCTCTAGAGAAGTGATGTTTTGGGGCTGTCGCTGGGCAACACGGACTTTCAACTCCCTCCAAAGATTTTCTATGGGGTTGAGATCTGGAGACTGGCTAGGCCACTCCAGGACCTTGAAATGCTTCTTACGAAGCCACTCCTTCGTTGCCCGGGCGGTGTGTTTGGGATCATTGTCATGCTGAAAGACCCAGCCACGTTTCATCTTCAATGCCCTTGCTGATGGAAGGAGGTTTTCACTCAAAATCTCATGATACATGGCCCCATTCATTCTTTCCTTTACACGGATCAGTCGTCCTGGTCCCTTTGCAGAAAAACAGCCCCAAAGCATGATGTTTACACCCCCATGCTTCACAGTAGGTATGGTGTTCTTTGGATGCAACTCAGCATTCTTTGTCCTCCAAACACAACGAGTTGAGTTTTTACCAAAAAGTTATATTTTGGTTTCATCTGACCATATGACATTCTCCCAAT